CTTTGAAAGAATGCTAGTCGTAATGCGGAAAACTTCCGTCCCCATAAACGCGTACCAATGGATTCAGTGCTGGTCCGAAAGCAGCCAAAAGTCACTTCTTTTTAGCTTCAAGAAACGTATTATGACACCATTAGTATAAACACGAAGTGGAAGAAAATGGTGGACGTGTGAGATTCATCATAAAAATGGGCTACTCATTGTTATCGCTTTTTAGTATTTACCGGGAGTAAATACAATAACTGAAATTACTTGATACTTGAGCGGTCCGTCATCATCACTAGTTGCTCGGGCCCCAGCATAATCACCATTTTCGGAGATTTGCTGGTTAAGCCATTGTGGTTCACTGGAATCCCGAGGACAGTCTGGCCCCAAGTCGTCACCACGACAGGCAGTCGCAGCCCTTTTGTATCAGAGGGAGCCACCATGCGACTTTGATACCAGGACGGTGGTGCATCCTGGTATTGGTTTACTCTTAGGTAGGCTTCCTGATGGAAACGCCGGACTCCTTCTTAGTTTGGCAGACCTTGCCGGTGGGACCACCGCTGTACATCGTAGTCCGACATCCAGGAATACCTTTCAGCCACGATGAGGCGGTAAATTGGGAGGAATAACTGAAATTATGGCTCGGAAATCTATGTCCGATTCGTGATTTCACTTTCCTTGTGTTTTTTTTGGCCACAAATTTTCTTTCAAACGTTGTTGTAGTACAAATCATTGCAAAACTCCAGTTACACATATTCGCACTGTTTGATTTAATTCTAATGACAAGCTCTATTTCTCACGAATTTTAATGGTTGTATTTCAGATGTCAAAACAGCAATTTCAACAAACTTAATTCTACCAATTCAGACTCGAAGGTACGCGAGGCAACAGGCTTAAAGGTTAATGAGGTAGGAGTGGCGAGAAGCGTTAACACAATGAAACGTTGGCCTGAAAAATTCCGTGTGGCGAATTCGAAGTTGAAGGCGAGGGGGGGACATTCTTCTGCTGCTGACGGCGATGAACTGAAGGCATCCCTGTAAGAGTCGGTGCAGGAGAACTCGGCGCAAGTATGAGACCGTTTTGGAACATTTGAAGAGGTCGCAAAGCAAAAGAGACTTATTCTGGTTTAGTAGAAGAGGTACCTTGGGTTCCTCTTCTACTAAACCAGAATAACCCTTCTCTCAACCGTATTGTGGCGTGAAACGAAAAATAGACCCACTGCAACAGCTAGTGACCATCGGCAGTGGCTGTACCGTGGTTGAGCCCGGCGAGCGACGATTGTCTGTGTTGATGAGCTGTTAAGACCCTAGAATACGGCTATTTCAGAATTTCTTGCCGTTATCAGAACAATCAATTCAATCTGAAATGTACCAACTATCTAAGTGTTTTGTGGAACATCTCTCTGATGAAGGGAAATAAGCCAGTGTGTTGCCGTGCGCATTTTCACAAAAACTGTCTTCACCTTACAAAAGAGTGACAATAGCGTGTCCGATCCCCACCCAACTGCGGTCCGCAGTTTTGCAAATATCTCAGCATCATTGAATTGTCGTTTTATCAACGAAGATAAACATTGTGCAGAAGACAAGCAAACGTATATAGTAGCATATAGTAGCTGTTCTATCTATATGATCATATAAACTGGTCTTGTTGAGCCGATGGAGGTTGGTATAGGTTTCGTTGTCGTTGTTGTTGCCGTTGATGGTCGATGGCTGACATTTCGGACATTTCGCCTTCCTTAGAACCCAGACGCATTTTATGTAACAGTATTCGTATATTCGGTGAAAATATTCGTAGTATTAATGGAGATCAAACTTCCAAATAAATGCCATATTGATCAAACAGGCTACTCACCGTGCCGTTACGAGTGGGACAAGCGTTGTTCACGTGGGGATGAGAGCAAGACACACCGAGAGGTCGAAGTAACATTTTGAAATAGGGCGCTAGGTCATGTGTGACAGTGAGGCATTCGTCCTTCCGGTTCATCTTTGGATTTTTGAAATTTATCAAAACGCCTCAAGAGTCTTGCGCGTTGATGTTTTTGATTCCCGCCCTGGAATCCGCACAGTATCTTCGAAATCATCGCCACTGTACGTTTGCACCCTGTGTACCTAGAGGAGTGCTTCGACAAATTTTAACTTTCCCATCCAGATCTTCTTTCATGCTGACAAAAAGCGGTCTATCCGTATCAAGTGTATTGTACCAGAACTCATTCAATCCCCGTCTCTCCCACCAGTACAGATCATAGTTTTCTGAGCTGCACAAACGATCATAGAGGCGGTTGCGCACTAACTGACGGCGTAGGGTATTGGGTGGGATGTTAATAATCGCTATATAATTTTCAAGACCACTTTTTCTTAAGCAACTCTTAATGACGTAACTTATTTAATTTGACATGAAGGGTAGCTCGAAAGGGATCTTACTTACGTTCGAAACATTATTTTGGAGAACTTCCTTACGCTTTCGCTTTTTTTTTTAAAAAAAAAAAGCTCTCATCAACGACATGTACCGAACCGGCTAAAAATGCGTGCACAGTAGAAGAGGGGAGGAAGGAATCGATAAACCTGGCACCGAATAATAGCCATTTCCAATGGCAACGAAACAGAAGCCATTCGGGTCAGACAAAAACGTTAGGAACATTACTGCGTCATTAAAATGGGCGCTTGTAGCACGGTGGTCGAAGGCGCTCCGTAATACACATGGGATCGATCCCTATGCTCCAGGGTCATCAAGCCTTCCATACCCCAGAATCGGAAAATTGGTATCAGACTTGCCCTGGGAGGATAGCAGCACTGGCTCGATACATCGACGGACTATCGCGAGTCATTGTGAAGGCCAGATATGCATGCAATCACCTCCAAACGATACTTAATGAAGTCGCTTGCATGGCCCAACTCTATTGGATTGATCCAAGCCGAGAGCTTTTTCCTTTATGCACCTACACCATCCATACTTATAACCATAGAGCAAATTATCTTCCACAACACATCGTGTTTACAACCTCCCAAGCGCTCTAATTATAGAAAAATTGCTGTTTATGATCGAGAAACCAGAAGGTGCACAAAGACTGAAAATTAGGCGGCACTTAGGCGACTGGGTTACTAAACACCGCACGTTAATTTTCCTGTTATTTTTGTGCAGTACAACACTTCACATCTTCTTCAGTTTAATACCAAGATGTTCAAGCCCTCGAAAGACTTAGAACCTTGAATTTGATGTGCCACTATGAAATTCATCTAAGTCACATTTTGGTCGTTAATGTTGCTTCCGTCGAAGAAAAACGCACCGTTGAATCAGAAAGCGATGATCGCTTCCAGCAGATGATCGCTTCCAGCAACCGATTGTGATACATCTGATCTTATCTCCATAATTCTGCTAAAAACGGTTATTTCTGGTCAATTTTCTATTTTATTCTAGTTAAGTGTGGTAGCTGTTTAGTGCTGCAGTCATCAGTGTGTCTTTGTGCCGATGAGCACCTACTCATTCTCTCAGCTTCTAAGCCCTATAAACCAACTCCGACTAAGTTACTAACTGTGATGCTGACAGTGAAATGTCAACCAGCTCTCCTTTGCTTCATCATTTCGATAAGAGTTTTCCCCTCAGTGATTCCAGTGTGTTACAGGTTTGTTATTTGACTCCACGGTGAAATTTTATTACACTATCTTGTGGGCGATAGTCTTATACCTCACTGGAACTTTTAGAAAACTGAAGAACAGTACTTTTCATTTATTGTGAACTCTCTTCTAAAGTAGAATACGTTCCTAAGTAAGCCATAAGAACAACGATCGATCGCAAACCAAGCAGTCTCCATGACTATCATTCCTAAGGCTCGGAACACTAAACCTCTAATCGGCATAGAACCCAGTTAAGCTGCGGCTGTAGTTGAAATCACAATGTTATACCTTTTTATTTTCTGCCTACTTAATTTCGCGACAGGGTACTAAGCGAAATACAACCACAACGTTGCTGAGATATTTGCAAAACTCTGGACCGCAGGTGTCTATGGTGGGGAACGAACGCGCTATTGTCCTTTCCGGGGAGTAACGCGTTCACCACCACATCATGCAGTACTCTGCCGCGAAATTATAGTAGGCAGAAAATAAAAAGGTATAACAATGTGATTTCAACTACAGCCGCAGCTTAACTGGGTTTTATGCCGATTTGGGCGCCCCAGATCAATCCCGCTGACGGGTGATTGCTGCGGCAAAGATCGATAGAAATAGCTGAGAGACAAGCCAAACGAAGGACCCGCATGGTGTGGTGGTGAACGCGTTACTCCCCGGAAAGGACAATAGCGAGTTCGTTCCCCACCATAGACACCTGCGGTCCAGAGTTTTGCAAATATCTCAGCAACGTTGTGGTTGTATTTCGCTTAGTACCCTGCCGCGAAATTATAGTAGGCAGAAAATAAAAAGGTATAACATTGTGATTTCAACTAAACCTCTACTTCCAACTCGAGCAGCCGTACTAGCAACTACAAGAATCCGCCTGGACTTTTGCAAACCCAGTTTATCCTAAACACAATACACAACGCAACAACGCCGATTTGCCAAAAGTTGTGTTATACACGTTAACAACTTTCATTGTGAAATCTCTTCAGGATATGGATCCTAAAATACACTTACGCAAAAAAACGAATATATCACAACACATCTAATGATGGACTCAGTAAAAGTTGAGAGATTAACAGAAGATGAATTGCTCAAGACAAACTTGTGTCAAATACAACAACATCTTAACACATCTTCACTCAACATTCTAACAGAGAAACAACTGATTTATTTCTTTATAAGACTATCTAACAATAACTAACCATTTAATAGTTACCAACCTGCTGACACCATGCGGTAATCTACCGCAGACGTTAGTAATAAACCAATCACAAATACGGCAGCTACACCCATGTCAATCGACATTGGGGTTATTTTTAATCCTACATAGTATAGTGACAGCAGTTATCGAGTAGATGGACATGGCCGTGGATCACAGACACAATTCTCACAAAACAACGAAAAGAACACTCAAGACATGCCCTTTATGAGCGCATTTGTCATCGTAAGTCCGAGTTTCGCTGGTGAGTCGGTAACGAAGACACCAGCCGCTTTGAGAGCCTCGATTTTGTCACTAGCCGTACCTAAGGTATGTGATAAATGGCAGGCATAATCATGTGGTGATTTTATGCGGCATAATGGAATGAGTCCATGCAAACCTCTTCCTCTATCGATAATCGCTCCAGCATGGCCCATACGTTTACCAGGTGGGGCAGTTAAGCCGGCAATGAAGGAAACCGTGGGTTTCCCTCTCGATTTTTGGTTTTGTTCCTTGATGAAGGCCGCCGCTTGCTCTTCAGCCATTCCACCAATTTCTCCAATAAGGATCACCCCTAGACACCTGGTTAAGTTGAGAGATCTGCTTAAAATTAGCAAAATTAATCCGGACTAAGAAATGGGAGAAAAAAACAGTTAAAATGATCCGTAACTCATTTCTATCTGAAAAAACCAAACTCGGAGAAACAAAAAGAGTTTGAGCAAAGCTAATATGTTTTCGATGCTGCGAGGAACAAAGCGTCCAATAACAAAATCCCAGTCTCTACAATTCCTACCATTGAGGAAGAAAAAATGCAAACCTTTAGTGTCATCATCAGCCAAGAACACCTCTAAACAGTCAATAAAATTGGTGCCATTGAATGGATCGCCGCCAATACCCACACACAAAGTCTGTCCAAGACCCATCGCAGTTGTTTGATGTACAGCTTCGTACGTAAGCGTTCCCGATCGAGATACAATTCCTGGAAATAGTAGACATGGCAGTTCTATTAAATCTGCAAATAACGATGTAAAAACATGAAATAACCGGAAGAAATTTATATCTAAGTCGAAGGCGTACTCAACAACTGGAAGATCATTGAAAGCACTGATGCATTGCAACTGTAATACAACTGCATGGCCGACGTATAAAACTCGTCAAGCAATTACTACCCGTTGAAAGATTTCTGGAAAGGAGCCCAAAGGCAGTGTTACTTCGTCCGGCTTCCTGTAGAGATCCTTTATTTTATAAAAAAGAGAATATGCTACAAGAACTATTACAAAGCCACGCAAACGCTCAATGAACCTTAGAGTGAAGATACGGCTATTTAGGAAAAGGAAACCCATTTCCTACCTAAACGTCGATTCTCGCAACTCTGCAGTTTTAAATGCAGAATATTTATGATGGGAAAAAATCTGATGAACGAGAACCATACCTATGCAACCTTTTTTATGGATATGTCCGGGCATTATACCGATCTTACATTCTTCGGGCACAATTATTCCAGGACAGTTTGGACCTACCAGGCGTGACTTGCCTGAAATTGAAATAAAAGCTACTCTGAAAGCGATGGCAGACCCATTCTTTATTAACAACCTTATTCGCTACTCATTTGATTACTTTTTTATTCTTTTCAACGTCCACCAAGGAGGCGGTTAATGGCATTCGGCTAAAAGTACCTCATTTCTAAGCTATTTTTAGGACCAAGTATCGAAGACCACTTACGTCAATCTTAACATTATTTTTTTGAACGACATGATCATAAATTTAGATTAACATCATATTCGATACAAAATATGCATAAGTTATCGAGAAGAATTAACTTTTATCGCGCTACTGTCGGAATCATAATACGTAGAGAGCTTAAAAGAAGATGAAAATCGCAAAATTCCACTCACTTTGCTTTACAAGCCTGCTTTTTACACGCACCATATCATGTTGTGGAACTCCTTCAGTAATACAAACAATGAGTTCAATCTGGAAACGTGACAGATTCAAAATAAACAAAGAAAAAGATAAAAAGGAAAAAGCTCCCGGCGTTGACCAATGGCAGTGGGATGCACCATGCATTCGACTTCATGAAGCATTGTTGGAGTTGATTGAATGCATATCTAGCCTTCACAATGACTCGCGGTGGCCTACCGATGTATCGAGCTAGTGCATACTCGTAGACAAGTCTGGTACCAAACTGCAGATCTCGGAGTGGTGAAAGACTTGGTGGATCGAGGGTGCGGGGATTGATCCCATGTGTATTTCAGGGCGCCTCTATTCACTCCGATCACTACGCTACACTCGCCATAAACAAATACAATCAAATAGCAAAGTACACATAACTCAGCATCTAGTGCCTCTTCAATCGAAGCAGCAGCGAACTGGTCTGGGACGTAGATGACTGTCGCATTACAGCCAGTTTTTTCTTTTGCTTCGGCTACAGAACCGAATACTGGTAATCCGAGATGTTTAGATCCTGCCTGAACAACAAAAACAACGAATGCTTGATATGTCGAAGAAAGAAATCCAAGTGTAGAAGTTTTTAAAAACGAGCACACTTGAAGTAGGGGTACTAACTAAGAGATCTTCTACAACCAAAAATGTTTCCTTCGTAATAAACGACAAATCATCGAAACACCACATGCCAATGTTCAACGAAGAAAGAAAGCGCACTTGCCTTATTTGGTGACACCCCTCCTACAATTTTCGTTCCATATTCGATCATTTGTTGTCCATGGAATGTCCCCTGCTTTCCTGTGAAACCCTAAAAACTCTTGGCATTGCTCGTTTGTTCGGAACTTTGAACCTTCTTAAGATAGCTCTAAGCAGCGTCAATAAGAAGTCACCAGTGATATAAACAATGCAATAAGCAAGACAACAAAAAAGTCAGAAGATATCATAATAGCTCAAAATCCCAAAAAAGTAGTAATTTCAGTTTTTAAGTTGATTGAATGAGAGAAAAGCGTGGCAGTAGTACATACTAAGCACTCACCTGAATAATAACTTTGGTATCCTTGTTAATCTTTAGATTATTAAGTGTTTGACTATACATCGTCCGTACCAATGGCCTAGTCAACTTCACGCGCGATGGCAACGACATCGTTCTGAAAGCGATTCAGTAGGACATCAACTTGAACCGAACGTTTAGAAAAACAAACGAACACAAGCAACACAGCATAAAACAGCAGGGATAAGTTTACAATCTTAAGCACGATTACTATTCGAATCAATTCAAAGTTACGAAAAGGTTTTCCTTCTCTTTTTTCTGCCAACGACTACTCACAGCCACACGGAATCGATTTGTCGTAGAGACCATGTGAACAAAAAAAACTCGACAGGATTTGAAACCAGAAAAGTAAAAGGCTTCAAAGAGCATTAATCGCAGTGATGCTGATGCAAGTGATGCTTCTTATACATAAAAACAATAAAGTTGAACTCGAATAAGAAGGCAACTGAGTGTTGTTAAAGCACCTGTAATCAATATTCCAATACTGGTACTGAGAAATTGTTTCTGCCAAAACATTTATATTCCATTTATGAATACTAAGGGATTGTGGGTACCGAGAGCCGGAATAGCAATCGTGCCCACACGACTGGAAGCTTATTGATACGTCCCTTACACCATTCATGTAAAAAGTTAATACATTAATATTTCAACTAAAACCATCTGGAGAACTATATAGTGTGAAATAAACAGTAGTGCTGATGGCGTTAAGATGAAAACGGAGCTATTCAGAGGATATAAGTTCATGAAGAAAATGTGGATGAAAAACAATGAGATACAAAAATATCCTATGAAAAAGTATCCCAAAAAAGGAAATATCCTAACGTAACCAATCTGAACGACGAACATAGGCGAAATAGATAAGAAATTCTGAAAGAAATCAAAAAGCCCAGAAAAGAAAGTGCAGTAGTTGAGGTTCGTGTCTTGTCTCACTTGATCACCGGCCCAATTTTCAGCAGGTTATGGATTGCGCGGAGAATCCAAGGATTCTCATCCAATCAAACCTACTAAAGTAAGCTTAGGGAAGAAGTTCAATTCCATTAAAGAAGTGTTCGAGAATATTGGAGACCGAACTTCTCCGGAATATTAAATGTTAATAATAAAGCTCTAAAAAGCTCTCGGCGTTGATCTATGCTTGAGGGATGCGGCAAGCATCCGTCTTCATTAAGCACCGTTAAAGGTCATTGAATGCAAATTTGGTCTTTGTTATGACTCGCGGTGACTTACCGAAGCATCGAGTCAGTGCTACTATCTTCCCAGAGATAGTCTTGTACCAATTCGCTGACCCTGGAGCGAAGGAGGGTTTGGTGGGCCTTGGGGAAGGGGATCGATCCAATGTGTATTGCAGGGCGCCTCCGACAACTGCGCTACATGCGCCCTTGGAACTCTTTACATGTTAAAAGGCTTTTTAAAGCATTATAAAACTAACGTTAGCAACAACTGTCAAGTGCAAAAGAAAACACACTGCTAATATTACAAAAATATCGACACGAAAGAAAAAAGTAAACTGGAAGCAAAAATACCTCGCACTCATGAGGGTACCGCTAGTAGAAGTAAAACTCTTGAACAGATTTGTTCCTTAAATTTTAACCTTATGCTGGTTGTCGTGATTGATCGTTAAAGGGCATAGTGTGAAATCATTTTCACCAGGCATTAGAAAAATCTTTACAAATTTTCTTCGAAGAAATGGATTCGTTATGGAAAGATTAGAACCAAATAGCCCTATCTCTAATTTTTTAAAGGACCATTGTACACGACCGCTTATGGCTAAGGACACCCTTTCAATAACATGAAGATGCTCCTAGTCGTCCTACAATGTGAAAGGCATTCATTTGGAAAGCGAAACCCTGAAAGACAAGCTGCCACGAAGAAACAACGTAACCTTTGTAGTTCTTGTAAGGCGACAAGCGTTGAAAAGTTCTATACACCTAGAACACAATGAAGAAAAAATGGTGCTGAAAACACTTATAGATTGCCTTGAAATTAGATTTAAATATGATTTTATTGATTGAATCCCAGGGATAATGTCCTTGTCTCACAAGGGACTACACTTAAGACAAGAGTATCCAACGGAATGCTCATAACGAAACTGAGATAGATCTTATTTTGGACAGAATAAATCGATAAGTGGAATAGGGATGAGCACCACTTACAGTGGTTAGTTATTGATATCAGTCATCAAAAAGAATTATCGGAGCATCAAAGGTCATTGAACGCAACTGGGAATTGCTACCAACCGATACACACTTACCTACTTGGTACTTGAAAGGCCTGTCCTCAATGGTTGCGCGGACCTCAGTATAATCTCCATTTTTCGGAGATTTGCTGGTTAAGCCATTATGGTTCCCTGGAGTCCTGAGGTCAGCCTGGCCAAAGTCAACTCCAGGTCTTCATCACCACGGGTAGTCGCAGTCCTTGTGGATCAGAGGGAGATTTACCACCATACGACTTTGATACCAAGACGGTGGTGGATCCTGGTATTTGTTTACTCTTAACTAGGTTTCCTGATGAAAACGCCGGACTACTTCCAGTTCGGGAGACCCTACGAGGGGATGAATCCTCCGTTGTACATCGCAGTCCGATAGCCAGGAACGCCTCCCAGCCACGATGAGGCGGTAAACCGTTGGAGGACCAACAGATACAACTACAAGCAATTCCAAAACCTAATAAAGCAATCTATAAACAAACAGCCGATATTGTAATTATAGAACGAATCCTTCTGGAAAACGCCTACTACGTCATTAGAAACTCTGCTGGCTTCTCGACCGTCAAGAAAGCCGGTAGTTCTGAAGTTGATCTCAGTTCTAAATCTCTAAAAATTTATTAATATGCTAAAGACCTAGATTACAGAGCGAGAAATAAAGAAAAGCTCCAGAAGGTTCGACGAGTCGCCGACGTCCTCAGCATGCGCGTCAGCCAGCTAATCAATAAATGGGCAAGCCGGCTTTAGCGCGTTAAATTCTCGCACGAATCTTCTAGTGGAAAACGCCGTATAAGGAAAAAAGAGTAAAGGCACCTCACTACCTTCTTGCCTTACAGACCGAGAATAAGTTGAGAAATCACTGCACGAATATGAACTAAACGACGTTAACAGTAGACGCCAGCCGAAGCCCATAGGGGTAGAGTAACACTTACGGGTTCGTCCAACACGATAAGGCTTTTCATAAACAAGTTTCAACTTGCAACGTATTCGAAACCGCTGTCTGCATTTGTTCGTAGAACAAATAACATTTGTGCACAAGAAAAACGCAATTCTTCGTGAAATAATTATTCTAGAAAGTTAAAAAACTTATGGAACCTAATTACTATGAGAAAGTATGGTACACTAGTGGTACAGATACAACAATATGCAAAATATGACAAAGGGCGCGTGGGCGCTGTGGTAGGAGGCGCCCTACTGCTGGGCTACACGGACCCGGTTTGTTTCAAGAAATCTCAAAATAATATTTTCTCCAGGCAGGTTCTTACTAAGAATTTGTGTTATTTTTACTGATAATTTAACCCCTTTTTCAGGAAAATCGTGTCACACGGATTATTGAATAATATAAGGTACTAATGCGCAGCCAGTTAATATCGTAGGTTTCCGCAAAGATTCCGGATAGCTTCTCGTTGCTACTAAACACTTTCTTAAGAGCGGCCTGTGATGCTGTTCTTATTCCGCTTAATTCCTCCACTCCTATTGACGATGTGAGGGTACACCACATACCAGGGATCTTTTGTAGTCAGGGAAACATCCATCTTGCTCGTTTCCCCTTCACACTTTCGGGCCCCTTATGAACTAGGTCTTCTTCTTATTTATGCATAGAAACATCCTCATTCCTGTTCTCTCAGCTCTTTGAGCACCGTCTCTGTTGTACAATAGTTCTTCGAAAGGATGACAATGTGGCCAGCGAAATGAAAATTTGACGAGGATATTTTGTCGGGTGTTCATTTATTTGTCACCCATGTGAGTCATTCTTAATTCGACCTCCTATTCCAAGTTTTCCCTTGCTTCGTTCGTTTTTGTTGGCCGTACCTACTCTGGCATTGAATAGATAAACAAAAGGTATTTTACTGGCGAAGCCTTTGTTCCGAATTACTTCCTGAAATTCATTGGAGGTCGTATCCAGTTCGATTTCATCAGGTGTATAGGTTGGATGAGTAGCAGCTGGTGAGTGAGACCGTTGTTCTCTTCACGCGGAGCTTGGAGACGTAGAATGGCCAAGTGGGGTTATAGAATTTCCTATGAGTGCAAAACTGAGAGCAGGTGCACTTTCATCTTAAAGAAATCATGGTTATTCATAGAGCAATTTTATGACTATCCAGAGCTCTTCCAAACAAATAAATTAATTGAAACGGCAGGTGTTGAAGGCTAAGACTAACAAAGGTGAAAAATTTGACAATGCAACACTTTATGTTGAAAACAAGTATGTTAGTGGCTATTGCCTACCTGGTAAGGAGTTCTTCACTTAGTACAGAATAGATTCCATTTCCAAAAAGGTGTCTTTGAAAATGTTCTCCATAGAAAACGAATGTTCTTGTTTCCATACTGGAACTTGAATTATACTTGGCTGGAAATATGTGTGTTCAGACCGTCCTCTCTTCTGTAGGGTTTTATCCCTGTCTGATGCAATTCCTCACAGCCATCGTTGAAGAATTCACTTGTCTCTTTTTTGGAAGCCGCACCCGGTTTGCCTAAATGCATTTTCATGTACAAAAATGGTCCATCAAACTGTACTAAGTGGAAAACTCTTGAGCTGCATCCCAACTCCACACATTCCTCAAGAAATATAGGCAGCATCATATCAGCTAAGCCGTCCCTTAGTTAACTCAGTTCTCCCTATTCCCTTCACCACTTACCTAGTTTCCTTTTTCTGAGTGGTGGAATCAAATTATCGAGCTCTCCATACGCTCAAGCAGTTTAAATGCTGCCGCATCTTCTGCCCTGGAACAGATTCATATTCTTATGTATACCAACATCTATGCAGCAGCATCGTCCTCTACAGTGAACATGAGCGCTTTCTCATTTTCCTTGCTGTTGTTAGCAAAGCACAATAGGTGAAAATTTTTTAATAAATGAAGACGATTGCTTCACTAAGTAGTGGATGGTGCTTCACACTACTTCGGGTAGAACGGAAAAGAATACGAGATACCTCGCGCCCTCGACAATGACGACATCTTTCTTTCGGATCTCCCAGATGATACCGACGATCAAACGTGAGGTATGATGGGAGAACGGAGGCTTGACAGGGAATGAAGGTTTCCAAGTAGGAAAACGACGAAAGAAACAGTGCAATTAAACAAAAATTTACTTTGATTGTTTTTGAACAATAAAGTTAGTTCAAAAAAGAGTTGCTACTAAAAATTGTTGGCAGTTTCTGTAACCACTATGCAAGATAAATCAGCACATTAACGGCGACACAAAGGCGCGTATGGGGCAGTGGTTGGAGGCGCCACCGCGGCACACACGTGGAATTGATGCTCACCAAGCCTTCCATCCGTCCGGGGTCGGCATGTTAGTACCAGACTTGTCTAGGAGGATAGCAGCATTGGCTGGATACATCGGTAGGCCACCGCGAATCATTGTAAAGACCAGATATGCATTCAATCACCTCCAACGATGGTTCATGAAGTCGAATGCTTGGCGCATCCATCAGCGGTAGAGCAACGTCGAGAGCTTTATCCTTCTATCCTCCTTAACGACGACATGAATCATACCATAGTCATGTCTCTCATGCATCGCAAAGAAAAGGCAAACTGAGCCATGCACAGATTTTTCACTTGTTTATTTCGCCGTACAGGATTTTTTGTGACACTAAATCACCCAATGCTTTGCCGTTTTACTTTGGGAGTTTCATATTCCATAATGGTTCCCAAACCAATAACGGTTTCGACATTACTACCCGGAAGGCTGGGAGGGAGTAAATCTATCTTCTGCTGGCTATTTTGTCGTAAAAACTCTAGAAGAGGCATAATTACTTTAGACATAAACACACAGAAGAGGCATAAACAGTGGTCCTCGTCGATTAAATGAGTGTGCTGAGTGAAAGATATAAATACTTTGCTGTGCTCAACGCAGTTGCTTGATCATTTATTTACCCGAGAAGAAAAAGTGAATATAGTTGTTATTTTATTTTTTACTGCTTAGATATGATTTTAAAGGAGTATTGTCATAAAAAGTGACATTAGAATAAAAGTCTACAGTTCTATTTAAAAAACCAAAACCGTAGAATTTTCATTCGCGTCATACCAACGGTTGTTTGCAGTGTAAAAGCATCGATTGCGTCGTCAATCGGCGATGTTCAGCTCAATGGTTGGATTGCGATCAGCTCCACAGCACTTCCCAAAGCCGAATTTGCACCAGAAAAGGTTATGGTGACTGTTTAGTGGTCTGCAGCCGGGCTGACTCATTACAGCTTTTTGAATTCGGACGAAACGATTACGGTAGAGAAGTATTGTCAACAAATCGGCGAAATGCACCGTAAATTCAAACAGCCACCGCCATTTGTCATCAGAAAAGCACCAATCCTTCTCCACGACAACGCCCGACCCCACGTTGCGGAACCAGCACTGCGGAAGTTGGTGTTGGGCTACGAAACTTCGCTTCATCCGCCATAATCACAAAACTCGCTTACCGACCATCACTTTTTCAAGTAACCTGACAACTCCCTGCGCGAGAAATGCTTCAGCTACGACGATGACGCAGAAGATGATTTCAACGAGTTCATCGCTTCCACAACTTAAAAATTTTATATAGCCGGAACAAAGAAAGTAGTTTTCTGTTGAAAAATGTCATAATTTTAATGGTTCTTGATTTGATTAATAATATTCCTTATGAAGGAGGTTATTGTTGTAACTTCTTATATTTGAAATCGGAGAGTTCATATGTTGCAGCTTAAAACGAATTTGCCATGCCGGACTTTCATTGCTACAGAGCACAGTCTCAAGTTGGGGTTATAATCGTCTACAGAAATAATAACAGTACAACACTAGCAATCTGACGATATGAAGAAGGGTGAACTATACAAGAGTCAGCACCAAGAACTGGCCTTGGAAGAGAGAACTGATAGAAAGATTTGCGGAGAAGACTGTGGGAGGACTAACTTCCGCCCGACGAAGCCGCTTTATACGTGCTCTAACAGGAGTTTAGCCAGAGCAGTGGAAGTCGTTCGGTAGACTAGCCTTAATTAAGATAAGTAAAAACCAATTTTGTTATCAACGCTGCAAAGGATTTCTCTATGTTCTACTAATTGATTGATATGATAAGCTAAATTGCTTGCCGAACGAAATTTATCTCATATTTCCCCACAGCTTGTGATTTAGATTACAACTCCAGCGTAACTGAGCTCAATGCTGGTTTGTGTTAAGCAGATCATTCCCGTTAAAGAATGATTGCTGATAGCAGTGAAAGAGGAAATAAATGGCTGAGAGAATCACAAAGAAACGGTCTTGGTTGGTGTGGCGGAAAGCATACCCCGACAAGCGTAATTGCGGGTTCGAAACCGATTCGATGTCCCGAGTTTTTCCCACGCGGCAGCATATTTGTGGTCGTATTTCATCCAATACCTGCTATGAAAGAAGAGTAGGCACTAAATAAAAAATGAGAGACTTTGAAAGAAAGGCAGTTTATCGCGGCACATCTGTCCAATCCATGGTCACAGAATGCGCTAGAAATGGTATAGCAGTTGTTGGGTACTATCTCTAATGAGATATAGCAGTTGTTCGCAGGTAAAAAGTTGTTGGACTATGACGAATTTCACTGACGGAAAGAAGAGGAGGGCTGACGTGGAGTCTTCGCGCATCCGTTGGACAACAACCGTCATTCCGCGATGGTCATTTTAGAATAACTTTAGAATCACCGAGATCTTTGAACAGGGGAAGAACATGCGGATCTACAATGTAGTTGGTGTTAGCTAAATTGTCCTTCCATCAACCATAATAAATACCGCGATATTTTCCATATAAAGTAGTGTCATCCTCATGTCATCATGTTTTTGATGGAGCACACTGCTACACGTTGTCAACCATACCGTGCCTCTGTGATTGTGCTAATTCAATGTCTATATGAAGCTTAGAATACAAATTTTTTTATTTTTACCCTGCTGCAATCTTAAAAAAAATGCACGTGGTAAATCGTTTGAAGACGAGCTTTTACACCTACCGATTCTACATCTCTCTGAACCTTCGTTAGATTCCTTATAATCCTCGAACAAAACAGACCATGAAGAACTGTGATTCAAAGGTTCGGTACTACTTCTATTGCTGTGATGACAGAACCAAGAGAGTAGCTCGGCAAACGAACAAAAGTAATAGACTTTTACAGTGTCCCTTAAAGTTACTCAATGATTATTAATCCTCGTGGCAAAAGCGGTCCTTCGCGCAAAAGCGAAGCATAACATACCCGGTGTTGCATTAGTTGAAATAATTTCTAAACACTTGCTCTTTTAATAGCCTTATATTAATGCCGAATGCTATGGGATGACGTTGAATGCACACGAAGGCAACCAAAGTTCCTTAGTCACGTAGCAGAAGAAGTTTCCGGAGTGCAGTCTTGAAGAAGCGCTTATTTTCACTCAATCAGATAATTTTTTCACAACGACGTTTGCGTAGAACAATACTGAATGACGTTTGACAGAAAAGAAAGATCGTACTTAGTCGCTTCGTCAGACAAGGATTTCCTTACTGATGGAGTAGAGGAGTCTGCCGAAAAACTCTACCATTCCTAAAGTTTCAGCAACAACACTTCACTAGAGAACATGATCATTGGAGTCGAGTGTACACAGCAGTTGCGCCTTTTTGCTAGAGATTGATCACCCGTGCTGAGGACCATTAAAAGCCGGAATCGAAAGTTTAGGCCCACCTGCAAGTGCTCTTATTTTTCAGTTAGAATTTGTAGTGTTTCCTCGAACAATAACCATCATGGTACATATAGTCAGCGAGAACATATTTTTTGATGTAAAATTACTATAGTGCAGCAGCGGAAAAATATACAGTTCGACAGTAGCTTCGCTATTCCCGACGCTGTTTCTTATAGAATTAAATTACACATGCAAGTACAACAATAAACAGCAAGAAGGTTTATTGCTTCGTGGTAAATCGAATACAAAAGAGTCTTCATCAGAGAGCCGCTTCAATGTGTGACTTCACAGAAGCACTTGAATTGTTTTGGATGTCTTCTAGCGCGTAGTCCATCACCTAAACATCCGACGCTGTGAAGAAAATGCCCGATAATGAAGGGGTTTGCAAATTTATTCTCTCTTTCGAATGTCTTATGATTCGTTCATCCCTGCTCTCCTCGACTCGCTCTCTCTTAAATAATGTTTCTAGAGAATTTAAAACGATTCATTGCGCAATACAGTCATAAAAGGTCTAAACTATAAGCCTTGAATAAGCAAATAGTTTGGTAGGATCTATGGAACCGTCAGCGTGCATTTGAATACAATGGAACGCCCACCTTGAACGGCAAGCTTTAAGCCACAGATGATTACAAAATGTGTATTAGAAATAATCTGCAATCGTTTGATTTGTACGTTATTCAAGTCGCCATCAATCCACTACTGTATCTCACACGGTAGTGAGAAGGTTGTCAACATTTTTGGTAGTGCCCGTTATTTAAATTATTTCCGACGGTAATCAATAATCGGACTACCTCTCCTCTTTATTTGAACTTCTAATTTCTACTCAATAATTGTTACCTTTGTTTCTCTTCGGAATCGTCTTGCCCCTGGTGGCCTTGGTGGCCCTGGAGGCCCGACTGGCCTGAATGGCCCTGGTGGCCCTGGTGGTCCAGCTGGCCCAGCTGGTCCTGGTGGCCCTGGCGGTCCTGGCTTCCGCTCTCCATCCTGGTTATCGTTGCTTTTAGGACCACAGGCCTAAAAGATCGTAACCGCCTGTTTAGGATTCGGAAAGGCTGCCGACCTTAGCTATTGCATAAACATTACCCTACCAGTGTAATTCCAATAAGAGCAACGAGAATGAGAAGATGCTTCATACGCAATCCAGAGTACTATGCTTCTGCAAAGATGCGCTCGATTTCACATCCTCTGCGTCTATTTGGCATAAAGAAATTAAAAACTGTGAATTTACAAAGAGATAAGGATATTTTCGGTGCACTTGCAGTACAAAACATACTACGGTGATCAAGAATGCTTGTGAGAAAGAGGAGCACCAGTATGATTCTACCAAATGAAGCGAGGATGCGTAGAAAACATGAAAACCGTCGCAGGATCTAAGTGAGTGGAGAGATGACCAATCAACTTGCTTATATTCCTTGAGGAGTAGGTGGAGTTAGGATGTGGATTCAAAGTTTTCAGGTAAGTGTAGTCCGATAGAGACGTTTCTGTGTGCGATAGAACATCAAACAAAGAAGAAGCAGTTTCCACAAAGGGCTAATTCACTCCTTCGACGACATTTGTGAGAAAGTGCATCAGATAAGAGCAGAAAATTTACGGAAGAATGTACGGTCCGAACAATACTAGGCAAGGGTGTTTCGAGTTCGAACATGAGAATAGGAGCATCCTCTTTTCTGTAGAGCGTTTCTGCATGACACCGTATGCAGAAATAGAGAGCATTCTCTAGCAGGTATATTCCTTGTGTCTTTAGCGCTTATTTTCAACTGAACATGAATAAATACAATTCTCACACCTACTTCTTGCTAATGCTCTTTCCGACTTCTTGTTAGAATGAATTCGTTGAGGAATTCTGGACAACTATGGATGCATTTTATGGATAACCTACCCCCTTGGAAAAAAACCCTAGTTGATTATGGCATTCCCTTCTGTGATCTCCATCACTAGTATTATTATCACCGTTATTTTCGTCAATATTGTTATTATTATTGCTTATCACTAGTGAAAATATTAGCGCTTTTATTATCATCAGTTCTTTCTTTCAATTTGCCCTACTTTTTCGACATTTGGTTGATTTTTCTAGAATCTACCACGTCAGCGTTACAAGCTGCAGAGCATAAACAGGTTAAGGGGCTGTCAATCTTTAAACATAGCAAAGGTCTGTTTGTGCTGTTGAAGCGTTTAACCTAGTAAGTTGCATATTATGATAGTAGAGGTACTCTCAAGAAACACGTTTAGGGCAGCCACCAATAGGTGCACAAGAAGAGAACAGAAATAGGAATTGGCAAGGTAGCCATTTCCATGCAGCCACGAAACTGTAACTCTTCAGACAGAGGAGAATCCAAGCCCGCAAACGAAAATTGCAGCGATGATGAGGCCCTGTCCATCTTGCCCTTTATTTCCAACGAAACAAGCGCGTTTACGAAACGTAGTGAGGTAAGGGCCCTTATAGAGGATTCGGTAGATGTGAATGAAATACCACCGGACACTATATGACGCCAGCCTGTACAGCCGTTTGGGTACAACGCAGAATTGTGCAATACGGGTTCTAGCGGTACGGGCGTTTGTTGTGGCACGTGTTCGGGTACGGTGTTCCTAATCTCTTGTCAAACAAAGATGAAACAGGGAAAGAGAAGGAATAAGAAATTGCTACGTAGAAATCCGTTATAAATGCGTCACGCGTTCTACTAAGAGTATTGGAACCCATGATGGAAAGGATATTTGGCTTATACAGTCACTTGCGAATGTTCAACAACGCATCAGATCGGTGTATTTCTTTAAATCGCTCCGAATAAGTTTGATATCTTTTTTCACGTCACCACGAAGGAGATGGCCGAATGCGCGCTGGATGGAAGCAAGAACTAAATTAAAATTAACCAAACACATTCATAGAAGTCCAAAGGATAGGAATTTTATTGTATCCGGGCAACGGTCAACTTCTTGAACCGAATATTAAACTAGAGTCCAACATAAGTAATAAATGGTTACTGTCTGAGTAGAGCCTGTCCGGATTTTTTCGCCCTTTGCATCCTAAGTGTGCCTTTTAAAAAGACTGGTTCGCATGCGACCGTTAAAAATGGACTGCAAAAAAGAGCTAAACTTCACTACGATTCGGTTATTGCAACTATGGGGTAGCAAATGTGGCGCAGTGGTTGGGGCCGCCAATGCCACACACAGGTGGAATCGATACCCACGCCCATGGCCCGCCAAGTCTTCCACCGCTCCGAAGTCGGCAAATTGCTACCGGACTTGTCTGCGAGGATAGCAGCACTGGCTCGATACAACGGTAGACCACAGTGAGTCATTGTAAAGGCCAGATATGCATCGACTCACCCTTAACGATATTTAATGAAGTCGAATATATGGCTCATCCCTCAGGGATTGATCAACGCCGAGAGCTTTACCCTTAGCTATATAGAGTAGCACAGCAGTAGCCGTTTCTCAATTTTTTTGCTCTGAAAATGCAGCCCGGGAAAATACAGCGTCTTGGCACTTTTCACCTCCCCATTTTTGACAAATAATTTAAATAACTCTTTGTTCCTCTCTTGTTGTAGGGAACTAATTTCCGTTACAAACGCCCTGGCTTGGGAACAAAATGATGCATTCTCTGTGATCATTGGCTAATGGCTCGATTACAACGCTTGGTTTCACAGGTCGAAGTTAGAACACCAGTTTAACTAAGACTTCTGCACTGTAACTGAGTTGAAGGCAACTTTGTTCCTATGAGGTGGTAACGCAGAGGGCATGCAGTGCTGCATGAGAGTTGTGTTGAACGGTAGCAACTCACTGTGAAGTAGCATACGGTCGCGAAATTTGAGGGTGGATTTGTATATGAGGTTTTAGAAATAAAAAAAATAGAAATCGTTTAATGAGGCTTTATGACGGAGTTGCGACTGCGAAAAATATTGGGATATTCGTCTTCGAGAATGGAGTGCGGCCTAGTGGTATCTCCGTTACACTAGCATCACACATTCCGAGTAACTTTTCTCTTTTCATGGAATTCTTGTTATATTCGTAATCGCGTTTTTCATGTTCCCCGTCGCAAACGCGTGTGAATGCTTGTGGATTTGATGGACGATGGATGGCAATGACTGATTTCGCTAACTCGTTCCTCGGTTTCCATAAGGCAACGAGCCTGTGGTGTAGAACATGTGGAATCTATTGCCAGAGCAACATCAAATCTCTGGGTGTATAACAATATCGCAAAACTCAAACCTGTGTAAACCAAATTGTATGCTGACACAAATGACTAACATAAACCATAAATTACAACAGTACAATGTGAAATGCAAAGGTATAAAATCATTTTTAATCAACCATCAATGACATAAAATCATTCTTCAAGAAGAAGGATATCTAAACTCATGACAAGGTTGGTGATGGCGTCTCTTCATGACTAGTTCTTTTCCCACTCGGATGAACTATTTGCTTCGTGTCGTTGTCTCGATTGCGCCTCTACCCTTCAAGGCTTGTGGAGTTCGCGGGCTGAACCGCGAGTTACTGTCGAGCACCGCAGTTGCTCGAACCTTTCCAATCAATCGATATGTTACAACATACAGTGAGCGTACAATACGGAATCTCGACCTCCCATGTCTTGTGTTGCTCTACGGCAAGCTCCTAAAATTAGGCAACTAAATCTCTTCTCATTTACACACACATGCAATCTGTAAACGATATAGATGTTGTCATAGACCATTTGATAATGAAGGACTGACACTAAACAAAAGACGAGAAGATTCTGTAACGGACTTCATAGAAAGGGGGAAGGCAACTGACCTAAGAACACTCGAATCCACTTCGAAGCTGAAGAAAAATCGAGATGACGAACGAGGAACATTCGTGTGTTGGTGAGGTTCAATGATATGTTGTTCAGCAACATGATGAGTTCTAGGTTATAATCGACGTTATTCTATCCGTTCGCTCGTCTGCAAGGCTGATAATCTGTCTAGCCTTGAACAATGATGGTTCACTCAGCGTTAACGAACGCGCAGTCGGAAGGACGATGCCAGGAGTATCCTGTTTCACACAAGTAAGGGATGGGATTCGAGGCGCCGATCTGCATCAACGATCAAAAATCAAAGATTCCGTTTTGCACTCCAAACAGTCGAAGATAAGGTGGACCGGGCACGTAATGCGTAAGAATGACAACCGATGTACAAGAGCCGTTAGTGACTCAATTCCTCGCGATGTTAAACGTACTGCAGAAAGACCACTGACCCGATGGTCAGTGTTCTTCACGAACAGCCTAGAAGAAAGATATGATGCTCAACAACTCAACGCATACCAACAAAATTGTGGTGTGCGCCAGGTTAGAGAGCTCTTGAATTCAAAGTCTGTTAGACTTTCTATTATTGATAAAGGTGGAGAGTTTGTAGTTATTCCTAGTCAGTTGGATATTGGAATAACAGAGGAGAGCCTCAGTGATGTTTCTCTCTATCGAGCATCCCCTGAAAAAGAATATGGAAACCAATACCGAAAATTAAATCAAGAATGGGTCAACACGGTAAAAGTAGCGGGTTTAGAGCCTTCACTTATTTCTCGACTTTAAAACGAACATTCAATTTGCCCTGTGCTTTACCTGCTGATTGAAGCACATAGGCTTACTTCAGCTGATGATATTACGTCAACAAACCCATCATCATTTAAAGTTGGACCTATCAACAGTTGTATAGGCGGGCCAACGAATAGAATAACGTAGTTTCTAAACCTTATTCTGACCCAGTTGCCAAAATTCTTTTCAACTCATCTACCTAACACCAAAATATTTCTAGAGCACCTAGGGTGCGCGCAACCAAACAGCAAACATGTAATGGAGTCATTCAATGTTACTTTACTTTATACCGACGTGTCGAATGACTCCACAATGCAAGCCATTCTCGAGTTGCTCGTAGAGCACGAAAAGAACATAAAAATGTACGGCTTGACGATTGCGCAACTAATGACCCTCTTAAAACAGTGTCTTAGTTGTTCAATCTTTAGGTGGTGTGGAAAATATTTTGCACAAATTAGAGGGTTGGCCATGGGACAGCATTTAGCACCAAGCCTTGTCAACGCTTTCATGTCTAAGGTGGAAGCTCCAGTTCTCGATCACCGACCCTTACTCTACTGTCGATACATAGACCACTGCTTCATCGTCCATTCC